TCTCCCTCCCCTCACTCTCTCTCTCCATCTCTCTTTCTCTCTCTCTCTCTCTCTCTTCTCTCTCTAGTCTCTCTCCCTCCCTCCCCTCCCATCTCTCTCTCTCTCTCTCTCTATCTCTCTCTCCTCTCTCTCACTCTCTCTTTACCTTCCTTTCGTCTCCCTCCACTCCCTTTCCCTCCCTCCCTCTCCCTCCACTCCCTCCCCCCCTTTTCTCTCTCCCTCTCCCTCTATCTCTTTCCCTCACTCTCTCTCTTCCCCTCTCTTTCCTCTTCTCTGTCTCTCTCCCCTTTAGAACGCCTAATTCTCTCTTCTCTTCCTGTCTCTCTCATGTATCTCTCCTCTCTCTCTCGTTCTCTCCCCCCCCGCGCTCTCTCTCCCTGGCTCCCCCCCCCCTCTCTCTCTCTGCTCTCCCCCTCCCTCTTACTCTTCCTTGTCCCCCTCTCCTCCTCTCTCTATCAATCTGTCTCTGTGCGTGTCTCTCTCTCTATCTGTCTGTCTGTGTGTATCTCTCTCTCTCTCTCTCTATCTATCTATCTATCAGTGTGTCCGTGTATGTGTATCTCTCTCTCTTTTTCTCCCTCCCTCTCTCCCCCTCGCTTTCATTTTCTCTGTCTCTCTCCTTTCCTCTCCCTCTCTCTCCTCTTCCACTCTCTCTTTCTCTCCTTTTCCTTTCTCTCTATCTCCTCTCCCTCTCTCTCTCTCCTCTCCCCCCTCTCCCTTTCTGCTCTTCCCCCCTCTCTCTCCTTTATCCCCCTCTCCCTCTCTCTTTCCCTCCCTCCCTCTCTCTCACTCTCTGTCTTTCCTCATCTTCCTTCCATTCATCATGTGGTGGAGGTGGTGGTGATGGTGCTGCTGGTGGAGGTGGTGGTGGAAGTGCTAGTGGTGGGGCTGCCATCAGCAGCACCATCATCACCACCACCTCTCTCTCTCTCTCTTCCTCTGTTTATATGTTTATATGTCCGCATATCCTAATAAATTGTCGAGGCAGTTTTCCTTGCAGAAAACCAACGGCCTCCGCTCACCTGGCCTGGGGGCAGTGGCGCCGGCCTCTTCTTCCTGCCGACTCTGGTCCGCGTCGAGGGCGGCAAGGAGCAGCGCGCGCCGTCCCGCTGCATGGGCGACGGCCCCCCCATGGAAAGAGACATCCGCGTCGAGTCTCTCGACAAGGCGGCTTCATTGAATTCGTCGTCCTCGTCTTCGTCGAAGGGATTCGTTGAAACAGGTTCGTGTGGCGTTCTTGCGAGCTGCGCGTTCAGAGACGCTATTGAGTCATTTAACCGCTGGAGTGTGAGAGAAGACTGACTGGAGGATCGAGAATTAGTTGCCGGGGAAGAGGACAAAGTTGGCTTGAACTCTAGCTCTCCTGTGGCTGGATTCACTTTCCATATAGACGCCTCCTCCTCCTCTTCGTCTTCGTCGAAAGGATTCGTTCCTGCTGGCTTGGTTTCCTTTGACGAATCGGCTGTTCCTTGATTGTTGTTGCCGTCGTCGTCGTCATCGTCGTCGCTCTCGAAGGGGTTCATGGAGATCTTCTTGCGAGGCAGCGGCACCGGCGCCTCTCTCGGCGCGCTCCGCCTTCGCCTTTCCTCCTCGTTGTCTTCGTCGCTGTCAAAGGGGTTCAAGGACACTTTGCGCGGCTTTGGCACTGGCGCCTCCCTGGCCGGCTCGTTGAGCTTGGCGGGGAGCGACACCTTTCTGTAATTGGCCTCGTTGCTTACTGCTCCCCTGTCCGCGGCCAAGGACAGTTTTGTAGGATCTGCAAGTCGATGCAAAAGGTTAGCAATATCCTACGTACTATGGACCGTATATTTTTATATACTAAATTTATGTACGTACAAAAGTATATTTACGTAATTTATTCACAACAAATGCAGCCTGTATTTACGAATGTAATACATAAGTGCATAAGGATAATAGGATATCACACTCTAGGATTTTATTCATCAAAATTGGGTCATCACTGCGTTCTTCTCATAATTGTGCTCATATGGCTACTTAGGAGTAGCTGCCATCATCTTCATCGGTAATGAAGGTAGTAGACTCCTTTGTAATATCAAATACCGGTAAAACCATATAACATGCAAATAACTGTACTGATTGTTATTTGTTTAAATTTGGTGAAAAAAATATTCGGTAAACTAACAATGCTTAACATGTTTAAAGACCAAAACGAATATTAGTGTTTATCGAATCATCCAGTGGCAACTGATCCTCTTTTAACAAACTCAACCTACTGATGAATTGCTACAAGAAACGTCTAGGGCGCGGTCAGATATAACGTACCACGTACTAAGCGCTGCCGTTTTTGAACGGTAAGAACGGTAAGAATAATGAGTAAAAGACTATTACTCTCTGCTTGTGCCTAACCCATCCCCACAAGCCGCACAGGAGCCGCGTCGAGGGCCGAGTGGCGACCAAAGAAGGAGCACTTACTGGAGGAGAGCGTCTGCAGGGAGCGGGCGGCGGGGACGGGGTGGGCGCGGCGGGTGCGGCGGGGGATGAGAGGGCGAGGAGGGAGGGAGCCTCCTACGGTGGAAGAAGCGTGACTAGAGTGGGCGGGCGCCCCTTTCTCCTCCCGCTGCCGTCGTGCCCGTTGCTCATGGACGAGGGCTGCGCTAGGTTGACGCTGCCCGCCCTAGAGGAACGGCGGCAGGGGAAGGGCGGGTAAGGATCGGTAACGAAGCTTCCAAGACTGTGGGAGGAGGTACTCAGTGATGAGGGCAACAGGTTACTGTCATTTGTGTCGTCACAGGGGGCGGATACTTCGGGCAGCTGAGGATCCTCTAACTTACAGGCGCCACTAGCACTACTGGCAGGAAAGGGAGTGGAGTCTGTGCTGGGTTCATTTGAGCTTTCATCAACGGGAAGGTTGGAAACAGGAAGTAGGGTCAAAGGTGCTTCACTGGATGTAACATCAATGCTTTGGGAACTCGCTGCTTCTTCATTCACACTTGTATGCTTAAGGGTATCGGGCGCTGCCTCCTTGGTACCTAAGCTGCATTTTGATTGGTCTTCCAATTCGTGTGTCGGTGAATCTGTCGGTCCTTCGACTTCCTCAGCGCAGTGAACATCCGGAATTTCCTGAGGAGCGTTCGGCGGGAGAACAATGTCTTCGTTAATTTCGGGGACTCTTGGAGGTTTCGCTGGAGGGCTTTCTGGGGGCGTGAGCGGACTTCGGCCAGCCTCCTGTGGCGGCGCGGGGGGCTCCTCTGCCTGGCCGTCTCCACTCTCCGTCCGCGCCGCTGCCATCACCGGCGCCAGCACTGGCAGCGCTGAATCTTCAGCCTCGGCTCCTTCGGCTTGGCTGCCGCGGGGTAATTCGCTTCCATTTGGAGGTCCGTTCTCCGAAGCATCAGAGAGAAGCGAACACTTGTCTGAGGGAGGCGTCGGCGTCGGACCCTGGAACTCGTCCGAAGCGCCGTTCGACGCCGCTCCTGTGGGCTCCCCAGTCGCCGCTGCTATGGGCAGTTGACACTTGTCTGGAGGGAGGCGCGGCCGTTCGGACCCTGTTGACGCACAGTCGCCGTCACGAAGCGCCGTCGACGCCGCTTCCACTGTGGGCTCCCCAGTCGCCGTCTGCCTTTGGGCTCCCCAGTCGCCTTGTGGGCTCTGGGTCTCCCCAGTTGACGCACTTGTGGGCTCCCCAGTCGCCGTCACTTTGGGCTCCCCAGTTTGACGCCACTTGTGGGCTCCCCAGTCGCCGTCACTTTGGGCTCCCGAGTTGACGCACTTGTGGGCTCCCCAGTCAACCTCATGGGCTTATGGGCTCAGTTGAACGCACTTGTGGGCTCCCCAGTCCCGCCCCTCACTTTTGGGCTCCCCAGTCGCCGTCGCTGGGGTTCCCCAGTGGCCTCTCCTGTGGGCTCCTCAGTCGCCGTCGCTATGGGCTCCCCAGTGGCCGCTCCTGTGGGTTCCTCAGTCTGCGCGCCGCCAGGAACGGTCATCGCGCCATATCTGGGGATCAAAGGGGGTTACAGTTTCACTGCAGATAAGACACAGGAAAAAATCTCACATTACTATCATTTTTACTTTTGAAATTAGTTTTTAATCTAACTGAACACACCCCTATATCATATATATAATATTATATATATATTATATATATATATATATTGTATATATATATTGTATATTAATATATATTATATATATTATATATATATATATATATAATAATATATTGTGTGTGTGTCCAGTCTCTGTGTGGTTGTATGTGTGCCTGTGTGCTCCTATGTGTGTGTGTGATGTGTGTTGTGTGTGTCGTGTTGTGTGCTGTATGGTGTGTGTGTGTGTGTGTGTGGTTGTTTGTGCTGTTGGTGGTGTGTGTGTGTGGTTGTTGGTCGTGTTGGTGTGTGTGCATGAATCCGAAGAGAAATCCTGCTGTGTGTGTGTGTGGTGTGTGCTACTGTATATATACAGTATTTATATTATAAATATAACATTATACATATTACAGTTTGACATTAAAAAGTCCTGCCATCGATAATCCGGTTCATTCAGATTTCTGCCATTTAATTCGAAGCTCATTTTCCAAATTTAACGCGTTAGCGTGCCACTGTTTTTCTAGAGTCACCGTTTGTGTTTTGATGGCGCTGCACACCAGGCGTCAGCTGTTGGGGTTCCCGCCCGTGCGAGCTCATTCTGCCTCCCTTTCCCTACTCAATTTATCATTTCATTATATATAGTTTTAGATATAAACATTGTGTTGTTGAGTAAAAGTGCAAATTATAAATATGCAAATCAGTTAATGAAATATATTTTTGAACACATACGCGGCACGGGCACCTTGCGCAGTACGAAACCAGTGTGCGGCATGTGTACTAAATTGGTCGTGTTGTGGTATGCAGCTGTGTGTGTGTCGGTGAGAGCATATACACGCACCTGCTGGCACAAGTTTGTGTGTGTTGTGTGATGTGAACCCCGTGCACTGGTCGTGTGTGCAATCAATGTCCGGTCCGGTGCTGCTCGCCCCCTGGTGTGTGGTCGTGGAATGCTTGTATGTGGCTGAATCGACGGCCGGCTATCTGGGCATGTATGCTGTGTGTGTGTGTGTGTGTGTGTGTGGCTGTGTGTGTGGCCTGATTGTGTGTGTCCAGTATCTGGTCGTGGGTATAGAATCTCAGGAAAAAGACGAGGAGGCAGGAGAAGGGGGAGGAGGAGAAGGAGGGAGGAATACACAGCGAACTGGTCGTGGCATTGGTTAATTTCTGTCGTAACAATATATAGGCACCCATAGACCCAACTCATCAATAAGCTATCAAAATAGAAATAAGTACGTCACTTTAAACGATCAATGAAAGGTTGTCCTCGCGTGCTTTATCACATCATCCGTTAGCTAATCTGTAGCATCCTGAAAGCAACTCGTAGAGTACGTGCCAGCAGTGGCCATCAACCAGAGCATATAAGTGTGTCCAAGGCTACTGTGATTCTGCGTGCCATAATCACAGCCCCTTACCTAGTGCACTGATGTGTTCTACCACCATGAATTGCGTCGTCAGAAAGTCTACCTGCACCATAGTTGCGCGTTCGTATCATGTTCCCCTAGCATACAACGCAACGTCCCCTCGTCTCAGAGGCATAATCTGCCACACCAAGTACGAAGAACATAACGAAAATAAAAGAAGAAAAATAACCAGATTCATACGGTTACATATCATAGTAAATTACACTCTAAATCTACTAAGAATGACTTTCCGCAAAACAATTACGCACGACACATCCATAGCACGAGAAAACACAAAGCCCGCTCGCGCCGCGCAAGACGAACAATCTCGTCACATGTCACAACAAAATCCAACATATGTAAACTATTATACAATACACATATCCCTATCTGCCGGGCATTGCTACCCTGCTCCAAAAATCAACTAAGTTGTAAGTCACCTAACATAATGGTTAACATTACATATATAAAAAATATATGTATAGTATATATTATACATATATACACACACACGCACGCCAAATAGAGTACGCACACACGCGTCATGACGCACACGTATTCACGCACACACGTACTCACGCACGCACGTACGGACTCAAGCACGCACGCACCCACCCACACACACGTGTGTGAGAGTGTGTGATGTGTGCGTCTATCTAATTGTCTCTGTCTGTTTACTACATGTCCACGTAAATCGAGGGTAATTGTGGTCAGGGGCGTGCCATTTCCCCGTCGGCCCCGCCCACATCCGGGGAAGCGCTTGACCGCTGCGACTCGAGTGGCGGCGAGTGATGATGCTACGGAGGGAAGGGCAAAGGGCTATACATGCGTCGTGCGTAGAGGTTTGGCGTGTAAGAATAAATGTTTTGGGGAAGCGGAAGAGAAAAGAGATTACAAAAGGCGTCCAACAGGAAGAAAAGCAGGAGTGACGTGAGACGTTTCCAAAATATAATGACAGGGAAACATTAATGGTTTTTGAGGAAACAAAACCATAACCTGAACATTGTTCATCGAAATGAAAAGAGTATTTTTTTGTAAAATTACGACAGAGGAAAATCATTGAAGGGGAGGCAAATGGAGCTTCAGTGGCGGCGAGGTCACTCGGTGTTCTCGTCCGTGACTGGTTTCTCCGCTCAAGCAGCAGCATACTTGGATGCTCGGCGATAGTCCGGACTTTACTCGCCTTCTGTCACTTTCAAAATGGATTTGGCTTATTTGCATTCGCCGACTTCAAGCAATTCGTGCAATTTGCCGCGCGCCTCAGCAGCTGACGCCGGCCGACCTTCACGTGGGCGCGTTGCTCCGGGTTGCCATTGGCGTCGCCCGCCACGAGCGGCCACAGCAACCCCGGGAAGAAGCCAGCGGCTATTAATCTTGCTAGATGGACGGAGTGAAGGATGGCACCTAGCCTATAAATAGTCAGACGCGTTGGCTACCTATCCTACAAATGTACACAAAACATTACATGCAAACTATCCATAACTGCACCAGGAAATGTTTCGCACTTTCTCCTCCTCTGCCCCAACGCGCATTCCGGGAGAAGCGATAGCAATGGCCTTACCAAAAGCTGCTGCCCGCGGCCCCCGGTGACGTCATCGTCGAGGAGTGCGAATGACTGTTGAAAGCGGCAATCAAAAGAAAAAAGAAAAAGAATAGATAGCCTTGTCAAGAAAGCTATAGGAAATAACCGAGTTAATTGCATAATCGCCAGCAACTCTGGTCACGCCTTCAACTCGCTAGATCTTTGCCCAGATCTAGAACATGGAGTCATTTGTGCTGTACTACACCACGCGGAATAGGTATTTTGTGTGGGCACTGTTTAATGTGTGTGGTTGGTGCTGATGCCGCTCCCTGTAACTCGCTACCGTATCGTTATCATACTCGCCTGCTATCGCATGTATGTGTCATATTTTTACTATATGTATACCACTCACTCTATATAGTATTACTTTATCGTATTTCTTGCCCCTATATATATATATATTATGTCATATATTATAATATATGTGTGTCCTTGCTCCCTCCTCTACGCATGTGTTGTGTGTGTGTTGTGTCGT